ACCGCGCAGATCTGAGCGAGACCTCGCCGTCCCTGGGGGGGGCTGCGATCTGCGAACTTGTCGCCACTTTCGAGGGCTGCTGGTGGGTCCAGCGGAGTGAGGCACCGCGCAGATCTGAGCGAGACCTCGCCGACCCTGGGGGGCTGCGATTTGCGAAGCTGTCGCCACTTTCGAGGGGTGCTGGTGGGTCCTGCGGAGTGAGGCACCGCGCAGATCTGAGCGAGACCTCGCCGTCCCTTGGGGGGGTCTGTGATCTGCGACACTGTCGCCACTTTCGAGGGCTACTGGTTGGTCCTGCAGGGTGAGGCACCGCGCAAATCTGAGCGAGACCTCGCCGTCCCTGGGGGGCTGCGATCTGCGAAACTGCCGCCACGTTCGAAGGCTTCTGGTGGGTCCAGCGGAGTGAGGCACCGCGCAGATCTGAGCGAGACCTCGCCGTCTCTGGGGCGGGGCTGCGATCCGCGACACTGCCGCCACTTTCGAGGGCTGCTGGTGGGTCCAGCGGAGTGAGGCACCGCGCAGATCTGAGCGTGACCTCGCCGTCCCTGGGGGTCTGCGATCTGCGACACTGTCGCCACTTTCGAGGGCTGCTGGTGGGTCCAGCTGAGTGAGGCACCGCGCAGATCTGAGCGAGACCTCGCCGTCCCTGGGGGTCTGCGATCTGCGACATTGTCGCCACTTTCGAGGCTGTTGGTGGGTCCAGCGGAGTGAGGCACCGCGCGGATCTGAGCGAGACCTCGCCGTCCCTTGGGGGTTGCGATTTGCGAAGCTGTCCACTTTCGAGGGGTACTGGTGGGTCCAGCGGAGCAAGGCACCACGGGGATCTGAGCGAGACCTCGCCGTCCCTGGGGGGCTGCGATCTGCGACGCTGTCGCCACTTTCGAGGGCTGTTGGTGGGCCCTTTGGAGCAAGGCACCGCGCGGATCTGAGTGAGACCTCGCCGTCTTTGTCGCCACTTTCGAGGGCTGATCGTGGGCCTGGCGGAGCGAGGCACCGCGCGGATCTGAGCGAGACCTCGCCGTCCCTGGGGGGCTGCGATCTGCGACATTGTCGCCACTTTCGCGAATTGCTGGTGGGCCCAGCGGAGTGAGGCACGGTGCAGATCTGAGCGGGACCTCGCCGTCCTTGGGGGTCTGCGATCGGGAGCGGCACCGGGGGGTGGGCCGGCACCAGGGGTGAGGGGGAGCAGGAGGGGGGGGGATTGAAGAGACCCCCCCGCCTTTGCGTTCAATGGAATAGATTGATAATTAGCAAGGAAAAACGCGCCCCCCCTGCAGAGCGAATTTTGAGCGAGCTCAAGCCCACGCTTTCAGAAACTCGCACTCCGGATCGGCGGATTTACTTAAAAGTAATTATGTTTCGTATATCTCTCTCTATATATATGTACATGTGTGTGTATACATGCTTATATGCATAGACATGCATATGATTACATGTGTATCTATGTATACACGTGTGTATGTATATATCTTCATATCTATATATATTCCTCCGAGTTAACGCCCCGCTTTTTGGTATGCCGATTCACGTATGATTTTGCCCCATCGTCCATCCTAAACATAAGTTCGTATCATCCCAGGTGGACCGTTAACGGTCCCCCAAATCCCCTTCAGAAAATACTCTGCGCGCGCACTCGCTAACCAAGAACCATCACTTTTCAATAATTCTTTCGAGAAGGTGTGACGAAGTGCACGCGCGCGCGTTGTCGCGCGCGCGTGCCGAAGTCTTACAAAACCTTCCAGGTTTTTGCAAGGATTTCAAAATCGTCGGCTTTCAACATGTTCATGCAATTTGGCCAAACGGGACTCTCGCGCGGCATGCCGATTTTTTTCGAACGCCCTTGCGCGCGTGCTGGGGGAGCATGGTCGTTGTCAGATAATGCCATGCGAGCCACTCGGGGTCGCCGGCCGTTCGCGCTTGTCGAACTCCTTCCAAAGCCTTCATCACCGACGCGAGGACATCGTCATCGTCATCGGCGTGATCAGTATCGTTGCCGTCGTTGGCCTTGCCGTCATCATCATCACTATCGTCATCCTCGTCGCCACTATCATCATCGTGTCTACCATTGTTGACGTCGCAATGATACCCTGCCCGCCCAACTCACCGACTCGCACTGAAGTGCCCGTTGGGAAGTGCCCAGCGGTCAGCGCCACCGCGGCTGCGTCGGTCGCCAAACTAGTTGGCCTTTCTGCGCGTGAGCATGCGCGGGCTAGCGCGGCCGCAGAAGTGCACCAGCCAACGCCAAACTCGCATTGCAATCGCCGTCGCATGGGTTTTGCAAGCCAATTTGCAGGTGGGTGGGTGGGATGATTGCGCGAACAGTGGAGTTGACGACTCCCAGTTTTCCAACAAGAGTTGTACCACATAGGTTCCCTTTTCCAGAAGAGTTAGGATCTCCCCCCAGGTCTTAACGCCTCGCCTCGTCTTGTTGTTCGTATCTGATTCTGCACTTTCTGCCGCTCTTAACAGGAGGCCGTCTCATCCCAGGCAGTCGCTTATCGCCCCTCCTCATCCTTTGCAACATCTACTATGTGCGCGCAGTCGTGTATCACAAATCGACAGTTCCCGAGAACCCTTAGCAAAACATGGGGCGAAGCGTGCACGCTCGCGTCGTCGCGCGCATGTCGGAAACATGCAAACAACCATGGATTCGCAAAAGTTTCAAAATCAAGTTTCCCGAAACGTATAAACGACCAATGGTTTCGCAACGACAATTGTAAAACAAAGCGTGCGCCGGCGCTCTTACGAAATCTTAACAGAATCTCGTTTTTTTTCAGCCGCTCCTTCAAACGCTATCAAATTTGCCTTTCGTGCGCGCGTGCCGAGATCATTCGAAAACCTTTGCGTGTGTGCTGTCTTGGGTCCTTTAGACAAGTATGTGACGAAATGCGCGTGCGTCGTCGCGCACGCATGCCCAAATCTCTCAAAAGCTGGCGGTTTCGCAAGGATGTACAAAACAACTATGTTGTCGCAGCTGGGATTTTCCAACGAGCCTGCGCTCGCGCTCTTTCGGCCTCTTAAGAAATCCATCGGTTTGCAACATGTCCATCAAATGCGTCCAAGCGGGCCTGTCGTGGCGCATGTCGAAATCATTTGCGCGCCCTTACGCGCATGTTGGGGGGGCACGATCCCTTTCGAATGATACCATCCGGGCCACTCGCGCGAGCTGGCCGCGCGCGCATGTCGAAGTCCTTATCGCAACCTTCATTTCCGGTACGAGGGTACCGTCATCGTCATCGTCGTGATCAGCGTCGGCGCCGTCATTGTTGTTGCCGTCGCAATGGCCATCGTCGTCGCCAGCGTCGCTACTATCATCATCGTGTCTGCCTTTGGCGACGTCGCCGTGATACCGTGCCCGCCCGAGTCTCCGAGTCGTATTGAAGTGCCCGTGCGTCAGCGATTGCTGCGAGACGTGCTTGGAACTCCCCAGCGGTCAGCGCCACTGCGTTCACGTCGGGTGCGTCAGACTAGCTGGCCGTTCTGCGCGCGAGTCAGCGCGGTAGCGCGGCCGCGGCGATGCGCCAGCCAGCGCCGAGCAGTCATCGCAATTGCCGCGCATGGGTTTTGCAAACCAAGTTGCAGGTGGGTTGGTGGGGTGATTGCGCGAGCAGTGGACTTGACAACGTCAAGTTTTCAAAAAGGTAATTACTTCAACGTTCTGTGTAGGAAAAGTTAAGATCACCGTTCAGCCTCATTTCGTGTTGTTCGTATATGATTCCGCGCCCCCGTCCATCCCAAACATTTGCCCGTACCATCCCAGGTCGTCGCTGATTGACCCCCCTCATCCTTTGCAACAACTGCTCTGGGCGCGTATTCGTGGAACAAAAAAATCGGCAGTTTTCAAAACACCCCTTGCAAAAATCGCGCACGCGCGCGTGGTCACGCGCGCAGGCCAAAAACTTTCTAACAACTCGGGGTATGTGGGTGGGATGATTGCGCGACGAGCAATGGAGTTGACAGCTTCAAGTTCGGCGAGTGAAGTGCCACACATGGATTGCGCCGCGCAGGTTGCACTGCATACATTACACCGCGGAAGTTGCAGCGCTTGGGTTGCACCACGTATATTGCTTCTCATATGTTGCAGCATATCGCTTGCGCGATTTTGTTTTCCGCGCTTGTGGCGCTCTCTTTGATCGTTCACATCATAAATTGCATTACATATATTGCACAACGTAAGTTGCACGACATGTATTGCACACGGTAAATAACACAACGTATATTGCACCACATAGATTGCAATGCGTGTGTTGTACAGCATCGTCTGTCGACCATGTAGCCGCCGTCGTTGCCCCGTCGCCGCCCCATCGCCCCCGCGTCTTTTTCGCTGGATTGCGACGCGTAGGGTTCGCGGAGAAATTCATCGCTTGCGGCGCGCTTCTGGGTCGCTTACAACATAGATTGCACCACATCTATCTAATGGCTTTCGGCCCATCCCGACACCGTGCGTGGGTTGTCGGGATGAAGCCTTTGGGATGTTCGTTGGGATTTCGTGGGCAGGTTTTCGGGGGCCTCATTGGAGGCAGTTAGGGCGATTCTTTGGTGCCGTTTGGGGGCTTCTCGGGGTCTCGTTTAGGCCTTCTGGCGGCCTCTTGGGGGCCTTGGGGGCCTCTTGGGACTTCCTGGGCGCCTCGTGGTTCGGGCGGACCGCTCGGATGTTCGGTTCGTGTTCTTTCAATTGGGCTCATTTTGGGGCCGTGTTGGGGCCCGCTTGGGCCATTGTGATAGCGGCTTCCTGAACGACGGGGGTAGAGCGTTGATCCTAACTAACAATCCTGGGGGAGAGGAGAGTAGGATTCACAGTGAGTAGTGGCTCAGGGAGGAGGGAGAAGGAGGGCGATGAGGAGGAGGGAGGAGGGAAGAGGGAGAAGGAGGACGAGGAGGAGGGAGGAGGGAAAAGGAGGGAGAAGGAGGGGGAGGGAGCCCCCCCCCCCCGGGAGGCCTCCCCCTTCTCCCCTTCCTCGGCCGCCCGCGCGCCGTCCGGCTCCCCCCCCCTTTGCCAGATGGTGCCGCTGCAGACCATAACCGGCGCCCAGGCGGGCCGGCGGCTCCTCGGCCGCTCCTTCAAAGAAGGAAAACGGCAGAGGCATAAATTCTCGGCGCTCCGCGCAGATTTCTCGATTTCTTGGCGCCTCCGGCGCCGCCCCTGCACCAAAAGTTTATGTTTATGCCGTTTTTCCCTCTTCTACTCCTGCTCCTTCCGGCTCCCCCGCTCTGTCCCGCTGGAGCCGGCTGCTTGCCGGCCGGAGACGTGTCCCCATTTGTGATCGCCTCGGGCTCGGCAGGTCTGGGGGGTAGGGTATGAGCTCGGGGCTGGTCCGCTGCTCCTCCTGCCGCCGCCCCCCCGCTCCGCGTGGGTGCGCGCGCTGGGGCGGGCTTCTCCCCTGTGTGGGCCTCCGCTTGTTGTCCGAGGAGCAAGAGGTGGTGATAATGATACGTTCCAAGATTTCCAGAACTTCACAGCATTTCCCGATGCCTTCTTGACGGCTAATGTGGCCTCCAAGCTGACCAAGATTGCCTACGGCCCAAAACGGCTCAAGATGGCCCCAAGATTGTGGCTCAAGTAACCATCCGGCTCAACTGGGCCGGCCCCGAGTGCCCGCGCACAGGGCGCATTCAGGCTCTTCCCCTCACCCTTCATCCCTCGCAGGCTCCCCTCTCTAATCCAGTACCTGGAATGGCGTGCACACATGCGGCGTGCCCGCTGTTTGGCGCGCTGCCCGCCTCGGCCGACGAACTGGGCCGCTGCCGGCGCTGCGGCCAGGCGCTTCCCGGCGCCGCGGCTGCCGCTGTTGAGGCGGCCGGGCCGCCGCTGCCGCCAGGGCTCCCTGCACCAGGGGATGGCTCTGCCGCGGCTGCCTCGCCGTCCGCCCCGGGCCCGGGCCTCGTCGACGACGGCACTGGTCTGACCCAGGCTGCCGTGCACCTCAACCTGAGCGACTCCGACATCGACGTCGAGCCTGGTGGCGGCACGGGTTTCGTGCCGCCCGTGCAGGGCTCTCAGGCGACAGGCTTGGGTGTGGAGTAGGAGATGGACACCGACCTCGCGGACGACACCGGGGCTACGCAGGACGTCGCAGGACTCACCGTTGCCCCCCCCACCAGATGACCATCACGCTCTTCCGCGAGTGGGCGGAGCAGGAGATCATTGTGCACTTCGAGCTCATCCAGGCGATGGTTATCAGCGACCCGTCCGTCAACCAGCTCCCCATCGCCCTCCCCAAGGACCTCGACGCTCTAAAAATGATATGCCGGAAGTTGGCCTACGGACTTGGTGCGTCGGATCCGTGGGTTTGCCTCGGTCTTGCCCGGTTTGAGGGCCCCGTCCCTTCGGAGCAGCTGATCGCGGCACGCTTGCGCACGGCCCTCGCCCTCTGCGACCTGACGGGCAAGGCGCCCCTGGACGAGGAGGGCCACGCCAGCATCCACAAGATCGCCGACGAGTTCCGCGCCGCTGCTCTCGCCTGCGAGAAGGAGCTTTTAGGAGTGTTGGCGGAGCGCAAGCGGTTGAAGCCTATCAGGCTTCAATTCTGGAAGGAGCTCGGCACGGCCGCGCGCGCTCTCCTCTGCTCCCCCGTTGCCCCCGGCTGCCGGGTGACTCTCCTCGCACAGTGGTCCTCCGTCCTCCCGGACTGCGGCGACAGCGTGAACTTCGTGGACATCTCCCGCCGGGTCTCAGAGCTTTTGGAGAAGGGGGACGAAAAGGCCTGGGACCTGACCGCCTGCCAGCACGTGGTGGCCTGGGCTCCGGATGATGCGGGGGCTCTGGCGCGGCTCTTGGCCGCATTCCTGAGGCGCTCGGAGCCGGCCTGGCGACCGGCCAGTCTGCAGATGGTGGTGCCCCTCCCGCTCGCTCACGGCATGAAGGACGTCGTGGGGGTCACCGATCTCTGGTCGCACCCGCTCCTCGGGGACAAAATTGGGCGCCTATAGTTCGTTCTCAGTCGTTCTGCGCGCAGCCTCTGGAGATGATTCTCCCTGGGCGGAACCAGCCGAGGCACGTCCAGACGGGCCTCGCGATCTTCGGCATCTCCTTGGACTCGGCCCGCCACGTACCGCGCATGGTGAAAGCCCTTACACCCCTGTTCGAGGTCGACTCGTCCATCATCGCGTTGATGGACCTGCCTTCGGATTACCTCCCGCATTTCCTCGCCCTCCTGGCAGACCCGGCCTTGGCGGGTCTCGTCGTGCGCCAGCACAGACGCAGTGCGAGCAGCTCTCCGGACCCCCCCAGGATTTGCCTGGACTTGGTCTTCCCCGCGACGTGCGCGGAGCTCGACGCCATCATTCTTCTGGACCGCCTCCGCCGCTCCATGGCGACCACGGTGTAATTCGCCCTGAACACCATCTACGACAACCGGGAGGCGATGATCTTGGAGATCACGAGTCCGGAGTGCTTGCCGCGCCTTTGGCCCTATGCTCGCAGATGACCCTCCTATCGCGCACTAAGGCGCTGGTCATCTCAGTCGCGGCTTCGGACACCTGGGTGGGGGTGATGGACCACATCCTGAAGCATGACCCCGAGGTGTCGGCCTCCCGCCTTCGCTGGCGGTCTTCGGCCCACGGTGGGCGCCCCGTGGCTGCGCCCTCGGCGACCACTGCAGCGCTGGCGGCCGCCCGCAGGAAAGCCCACTCTGGAGGAGGTCTGGAGCACATGGCGGACATTGTCGTACAGGGGGAGCTGGGCACGCAGGACTCCAAGGTGTCGCGATGCTCATGGAACATGTGACCTCGCAGCTCGGCGTCGCGCTGCAGGAATCCACGGGGCCTCAGGGGCTACGCCCTGGGGAGTACTTCCCCCTGCGGTCCCGCGATGTGCACGGCCCTCCAGGCCGCGTTCGAGCGCTTCTTCGTGACCGGGGAGGTCCGCAAGCTACATGCCAGCCTTCGTGGGCAGGTGATTCGGGTCGGCAACGAGCACGTGCGGGTCGAGATCCTCAACGACTCCATCCTTGCGCTGTCGAGGCCGGGAAACGGGACAGGGGCGCGGACCTAGTCCCTCCGCGCCCCGATGCTCTTTGGGACGCCTCCCAGATGCTGCGCTGGGGTGCAATTCGGTGCATCGCGTTGGACGGCTCCGAGTGCTGGTTCATCGAGGTCGCCTTCTCCCTCCACGTGACAGCTGTCGCGCCGAGCGAGCATGGCTCTCCTGGGCGTCCCTCTCCGAGCCCGTGCAGGTCTACACATAGTTCGGCGTGTTCTTTATCGCCCTCTTCGAATTCTTTGCAAATCGTCGGCATTCACCGACCGCGCTCTTCGTGATCGGCTTCTTCCCCCACTCCGTCCTTTTCTCCCTGGCTGCGATGCTTGGCTCCGGTGCGTGGGCCCCCCGGGTGAGGGCATCCCGTGCGGCGCGTATTGCTCATTGCGGCTCCGCCGGGCCCTTGGCGCACTCACCCGAGCTGCCGTGGTTCCGCCTCCCAGGAGCGCTCCATCGATCTCATCTGCGAGCCCTTCCCGCCGAATGGGGCAATATCGCGGGACATCTCGGTTGCGTTGTGGAGCGCCCAGGCTTTCTTCGCGGCCGCGCCGGGTCGCCAGGAGATGAAGTGCGCGCACGTGCACTCCCTCTTGAATCGCGCGCAGGTGGTGATGATCACGGAGGCCCACGGGAACGGAGGGGGCTCGCCAGGTGTGGCGCCCCCCCAGGGTACGGCAGCATGGTGGCCCGCTGGTGCCGCGACCGCTCATTCGGGCATCAGCCTCATAGTCAAAGAGACGTTGCTCAAGTGCTTCGACCCCGACCCTATGTGGAATAGCTATAAACCAGGGAGGGCAGCCAAGTTGGAGCTCCGTGGCCCGGAAGGGGCCTTGGACCTGGTCGTGGCATACTTCCCGACGGGTGCCGGCATCGGAGAGCAAGACATGTTCGGCTTCTCGCGCGCGGAGCGGGGGCGGGCCTCGTCTTTCCACGAGCTTCGCGGTTGTCTCCGCGCGCGCCCTTCCCGTGCGCTCGCCCCCCGGCAGTCGGCGCTCGCGATCCCGGGGGGCGACTTCAATTACGTCGCGGACGACTTCGATCGGTTTGCGGTCAGCTCGGCTCGCGCCGCAGGCAGGGGGCACGCGCGAGGAGAAGCGTTTCCAGCGCGTTCTCGGCGCCCCTTTCGGTCTCGCGGAGTTGTGCCAACCCGAGCCCGCTCGCGCCTTAGCCTCCTCGAGGGCGAGATTGGACAGGGTCTACATGAACCGCGATGTCACGGACCAGATCGACAGGCAATTGCGTGCAGCTGCGCTGGAGTGGAGGCCCCAGCTGTCCGCTCACCGCCCCGTCCTCGTGTCCCGCACGGCCCCGCAGAGGCTCTCGGAGAGCGCGCGGCGGGTCCCGGACTTCGCGGTGCAGCGCCCTGACTTCAAGCGCAGGGTCGCGCTCGAGTTCGAGGGGCGTCTCGCCACTTCCCCTTCCACCTCAGGGCTCGCCAAGCTCCAGATGTTCAAGGAGGCGGTGAAGCAGGTCGCCCGGCGCATCGCCGCAGACCGCGCCACCCCCCCGACGGCCGAGCCCCGTGAGGACAGATTAGGTATGAAGTGTCTTGCCCGGTGCCCGCCCCTCCGCGACCTTGTCCACAATCCCTGCGACTTCTCAGGTAATCTGTCCGTGCGTCTTCGGGGCCTCCGTCATCGCGCAGCCGAGCTCGCTCGTGACCACGCGTTGGGCGAGCTCGCCACCGCCTCGGTCGCACCTGCCCCGGAGCGGGGCGAGGGGGAGGGGGGCGGAGATGGGCGGCGGCCCTTCGGGCACGTCGGACGCGCAAGCGGGGTGCTCGGCGTCTACGCCGACTCGCTCCTGGCCGTTCGGTGGGAATCGCCGCTGTGCAGGACTCCTCGGGCATGGTCCAGACGAGCGCGGACGACGTGGTCCACGCTCTTCGTGCACATTGGATGTCTGTCTTTGAGGCGCGAGGCCACGATGTTGATCTTCTTCGTGCGTGAGTTGCGGAGGGCGGGGCAGCGCGCCCCCCGGACAGCCCGTTTTTGGGTCTTCTGCTCGCCTCCAGCTTCGTCGCCGCCACGTTCGCCGCGCCGTAAAGTTTACGGGCAATGCGGCCCCGGGCCCGGATGGTATACCATTCAAGGTGTGGCGCTTATTCGGCGAGGTCGCCGTGGACTTGCTGTTTGACGCTTTCCACGGGCTCCTCGAGGACGACGCGGTGGGCGAGCTCGCATCCCTCGGTTTCGCCTTCAACGAGAGCCTGCTGTACCTACGTCCGAAGAAGGCCGTGGGCGCCGCGGGCGAGGGTGTACCGGTGTGCACTGCCAGCGCCACGCGGCCGCTAAACGTGGTCAACGCGGACAACCGGATCCTAGCCAGCGCCGTCCGGCCTATGCTCGAACCTGCCCTGGCTCCCAGTATTTCCCAGGATCAGCGCGGATTCCGGCGCGGCCGGTCCATGCTCGCCGACGTCATCGACCTGGAGGAGGCGATGTGCATCGACGCGAGTCAGTGCCCTGACGCCCTTGCCTTCTTCATGGACTTCGAGGCGGCGTTCCCCTCGGTGGAGCGCGGCTTCTTGCTCGAGCTGTTCCGGCTTGCTGGCTGGCCCGATTGGTTACTCCGGCGCCTCAGGGTTCTCTACCACCAGAACGGTTGCACGATTGCGTTCGGCGGGGCGCTCTACGACGGCCTCGTGGCCACGCGGGGGGTCAGGCAGGGTTGTTCTCTGTCTCCTCTTCTGCTCCTCGCTGCCTCGTCCGACCTCCTCCTCGAGCGAGTGGGGCGACTGTGCTTGTCCCTGCGCCGGGCCTGCGCGGAGGGCGCAGCGGTGCTCCTACATGGCGGGCTCCTTGCCGTGCCCACGCTGGCCTCCATGTTCGCCGAGTTCGCGCGGGTCTCCGGGCTACGCCTCAATGTCGCGAAGACGGCGGTGGCCCCTCTCTCGAGTGTCGACCCCGAGGAGCTGCGCTCTGCCATTGCGGCGCTGGTCCCCGAGTGGGGGCAGATTGGGATAGCCTCGCGCGCGAAGTACTTGGGGTTTGAGGTGGTGCCCGGCCGTGGGGCGCTTTCCTGGGGCGTTCCGTTGGAGAAGTTCCACGACCGAGCGGAGTTGTGGAGGTCGATCGGCGCGGGTCTTCGTCTGGCGGCGGCGGCGTACCGCGTCTACGTCCTGAGCGTGCTCCTCTTCGTGGCCCAGCTTGAGCGCGTTCCTCCGGAGGCGCTTCAGCAAGGGGCCTGCGTGCTGCTCCAGCTCGCCCCCGGGCCCGGGGATTGCAGCGCCAGCGCTGCAGTCTCTCACGGACCTCGGGTTCAACTTCGAATTCGCCTCGCTTGTCTCCTGTGCTACGGCCGCTGCTGCCCGGACGTGCCAATTCGAAAATAGGCATGGTGGGGGTCTTCGAGTGCAGGAGCGGGCCCAGCAGCTGCTCGATCGGCTGCGCGGGGCGGACAACGTCACTTTACAGATGGCCGCTTGGATCCGATCGCGCTCTCTTCTGCGGCTCCGGGAGGCCGCGGGCGCCGTTGCGACGGCGGCGCGCGCTCGGGGCATCGCGCCCTGCCTGCTGGACACCAGCCCGATGGGCGACGCGGAGCGGAGGACATGGCAGCGCCGGGCTGTCCCCATACTGAGGCCTGTCAGCAGCCCTGCCCTTGCGCACGCCCGGGCGAGGCTCGGCAGATGGTCGATTGACCTTCTCCCACGGCTTCGGCCGCGCTCTTGCGGGCACTGACAGTGTACGCCGTGTACAGGGCGCACGGTGACGCCCGCTGCGGGCCCCTGCGCGCGGGCGCCGTCGCTTCCGCCCTCCCCGCCCTGTTGCGGGAGGGCGCCCGCGGGAACTCAGCTCTGGAGTCCCTGCTGCGCTCAGCCCGGCGCCGGCCGTTCGTGTCGTAGCCTCTTTTCTTTCTACTTCCTGCTCCCGCCGTTTTGCCGACGGTCGCAACTCTATGAATCTTAGGCTTCGTGCCCTGCCCGCCAACAGCGCGGCGCTTCCTCGCCGGTCGGGCCCGGCGGTCGTAGTTGACGTTGAGAGTTATTCAGGCAGGTCCCGTCCCCCTGCCTCCCCGCTTCTCTCCTCCTCTCGCGCCGCTGCTGCTCCTCCCCCTCCTCTGCGCGCGTGCTGCGTATCCGTTTCTGCGACGAGGGTGCATTACTCAGTGTAATGTGATGTTTATGTTTGGCGGCTGATTCGGCCCCCGGGTAACATATCCAAGATTGTTTGTCGTTGGCCGTGGCCGTATGCATTGCAGTGTGTTTCAGCTGTGTTGTCTCTGCTTAAAACCCGCACCATTTCCCGTGGGATCTGCGCGGGCGTACAAAAACGCTCGGGTTTTTCTCGTATTAGCCTTGCGCGCTTGTTCGTCGGCCTTGTCTTCGAATGGCCGCCGCCAGCGTTGTCTGCGTGTAAATGTGTGAAAACCTGTATGTTTTTTAAGAAGAGAACAGGTCCCACGGATAATTCCTTGGGTTTCTGCCAGCTGTTAGTTCCATGCTGAATCATCGTGTGCGCTCCCTTCTTCTGCCCCCCCCCCAAAAAAAAAGAAGATGGCCCCAAGATTGCCTCCGACCCCAAGACGGCCCAAGAGACCCCCGGGATCGCCCCACGACGGTCCACAAGAGTGCCAGAAGGGCCCCAAGATGGCCCTAGATAGCCGCAAGGCAAGCCTGAAGGCCCCGAGAGGGCCCGAAGACGGTCCCGAGAGTGTCCAAGATGACTCGAAGGAACACTCAAACCCGTTCAAATCGCGACCGAGTCGACGGCGTCATCGGACGCGTGCCGTGGCATTGCTCCAGGGGCTTCCAACGACTCCAACACGCCCCTGAAGAGGCCCGAACATGATGTCGGAGCGCTTTCGGTTCCGATGTGGCCCGCATCTGGTCAATGTTGGAGGCAATGTTTGAGGTTACGCTGGGCTCTTGAAAATGACAGCAAATCATGCCAAAATGGTTTCAAACATGCGACACGTACACATATACGCACATAAAGCGCACAATGAGTGCATAGGACGTGCACAGCATCGTTTGCTAGATTTGCCAGTCTTAACCGCATTTGCTTCTTACGATCAGCATACCTCCGTCAGCCGACGTATTGCATGGTGTCCTCATGATCTACCGCCTGTCCCACACCCTGTGCATAAGTTTTTTCATCGTATCCCCTGCTTTGGCTCAGTTTCGTCTGCACCCACAGCCGACGCAGGCGGTGGCTGTTCGCATGATTTGGGACCGCGCCTACTCCTCCGGTGCTCTTGTCGCCGAGGCTAGGCGTTTCTGCGTTTTTGGACCGCACTTGTCGAGGCGCCCTGCGCTTCGCCTTCGGCCATCATGGCGACAGCTATCATGCGATCAACCCTTTGAGTGCCCGAACCGGATTTCCACGCTTGGCCTCGTAAGCGGCGTCTTGCTCCGTCGGATTCAGGGCTTCCTCATGGCCGCATTACGGCGCTGAGGACCGCCGTGCTCGCGACACGAATCGCAGGGGGAAGCAAGGAGAGGCTGAATCAGACTTCTCCGAGTCGTCCGCATACTGGAGGTTGCGCTCGGGGCTGCGCCTGCGGGCCATGGGCCCGCCGTGGGCGCCAGTGTCCAGCAGCGTTCGGAGCTTGTTCGGGCACGTTTGCTTCAGAGAACGTGTCCGCATCTCAGGAAGAGCTTGTCGTCGGAGAGACGCCAACACCACCACCACCAGCACTGGCCAGGTCCATCCTGGGCCCTGGACCAGTGTATAGGCCTCCAGGCCTAGGCCAGGAGGGCCTGCGCACCAGTCCAGGGCCCAGGAGGGGCCTGGCCAGGGCTGGTGGTGGTGTATTGCTTGGAGCTCTCCTAAGGCTTGTCGTGCGGCTATACCCCTCGCGCCACCGATGGTTGAGCTGCAGGGTGAAGCTGCTCCCTGCAGGTGTCCAGCGGCTGGTGGCCGCACGAGGGGCGGGGCCGCTCCCCTTTGCCCTTGTTGCGGGGCGCGCCCCGTGGGAATTTATCGTCTTGGTGGTTGTCTTGCACCTCGTGGGTTCACGCCTGCACGTCGCCGTTGCCACGGCGCAGAAGACCCTCCGCCCTCATGATGCCAACTTCCCAGCCGCCAGGGCACTTGCATGTCTATTCGTGTTGCCTCGATGTCGGGTTCTGGCCCTCGTTGACCTGCCTGCGCATCGTCCGTGATCGTTTGCCTGTAATCTGAAGCATGGCCGTCTGGTACACTGCGACCTACGTACATCGTGAGTCACGTGTGCCCCTCGGGCCTCTCGCGTTCCTGCTCCAGCGCGCGGCAGTTCTGCCTCTTGTCGGGTTCGGCCCCAGGCCCGCCAGGCGCCGCGACGACGGGGTGGCCTAGGCTGTCGCTCAGTCCCCGCGGTGGGGGAGTGAACGGCGAAACAAGTCTCGCGTCCTCTTCTCGCTCCTCCGCCCCCCTCCCCGCCCCTTATGCTTCCGCCCTAGCGAACTCCGGCCTCAAAGCCTTCCTGTTCTGTGGCCTTCTCCACACTTGCGCGAGCCTCGTGTGCTCACGCGCCGGGTTTTAGCGGGGCGAAGCGCCGCCCTGGCGCGTTTGGCCTTGCAAGTGGCCCCTGTGGGCGGGCGGCTTGGCCCCATGGTCCGCCCTTGCATCTCGAGACCCTTAGGTTCGTCCCCGTGGGTCCTGTACCACGGGGCGGGTCGGGGCGGGTGGGGCGGCGGAGCCTCGGCGTGTGTGCGCATACCCTGCCTCTCATGCTTGCCTCTCCTATTGCTGCCTTGGTCCGGGTACTCACGCACTGACGCCGAGGGCGTACTCTGTCTGGAGGAAGTCCTCGTCGCCTCAGTCCCTATCGTGCGGATGCTGGGTGGGTCAGTCTACTTGACCCGTTCCTCCCCCCCCCCCCGGTACGCACACTTCTACCTCGGCGGCCACGCGCCAGGGCGTCGTGGCGGTCCCAGAGCAGGTGGTGTGGATGCTGCGTCCGGAGGCGGGACGGAAGGCTCGGGAGACGCAGGGCGGCGAGGGCAGACGGCGCACGCGGCGGAGGGCAAGCGAGAGCAGGCAGGGACAGGCAGGCACGGGGGGAGGGTGGGGGCGAGGGCCGAGGCCACGCGCGGGGGCGAAGGACGAAGGGCGCACGGAGGAGGCGGGGCGCGACGGGGACCCCCCCCCACCACACGGAGACCACCAGAGAGGGCGCCGCGCCTGCCAGGCGCCGCTGCCCATGCAGCCCCCGAGCCCCCCGCCGGCCCTGGCGGCCATGCAGCGGCCCCTGAGCCCGCCGACGCTGACGTCGGCGCGCGGCGGGGCCGGGCGGTCGTCGTCGCCCTCCGCCCCTTGTTGCCCCCCAGCTCCTGCGTGGACAGTGTGGGGGGAGGGAGGGGCAGGAGGGGGAGGAGGAGGGAGGAGGAGGAGGAATGAGGAGGGAGGAGAAGGGATGATGAGGAGGGGGAGGAGGGTGAGGAGGAATGAGGAGGGGGAGGAGGGTGAGGAGGAATGAGGAGGGAGGAGGAGGAGGAGGAGGAGGGGGGAGGAGGGAGCACGAGGGAAGACCAGGGGAACCGATCGGGGGGATAGGTTCAGGGGGAATGCGCCGACCCCCAATCGCCCACTCATCGCCGATATGGACAGGGGGCCTGATGTCCAGCCCCGCCCAGGAACGCGCGATTCTGCGATCGCGGGCCTATCGTCGACCTATCGGCGATGTATCGCCGATTCCAGCTCGATGTTCCCCCTCTCCGCCCGAGCTAGTCTCCCCTTATCGTTCCCCTCAGGGGAGGGAGGCAGGGAAGAGGGAGGGGGAAGAGGATGAGGAGGAGTGCCAGGAGAAGGTGGTGGAACGTGTTAGGATTATGCCAAATGGGATGATGATGATGATGATGATGATGATGATGATGATGATGATGATGATGATGATGATGCTGATGCTGATGATGATGATGATGATGATGATGATGATGATGATGCTGATGCTGATGATGATGATGATGATGATGATGCTGATGATGATGATGATGATGATGCTGATGCTGATGATGATGATGCTGATGCTGATTATGATGATTATGATGATGATGATGATGATGATGATGATGCGGCTGCTGATGACGGTGACGATGACGATGATGATGATGATGATGATGATGATGATGATGATGATGATGATGATGATGATGATGAGGAGGAGGGGATGATGAGGAGGGGAACGAGCAAGAGAAGACCAGCATGAGGCCAACGGGTGTAACCAAGAACGGTAACTCTTCTCGCATGTACCTGCCGTAAAGCTAGACCAGCCAGGAAGAACCGCGGCGTGCGAACGCGAACGCGCAGCGTTCGTCGCAAAACACGTCAGGCAGTGGACTAGGCTGCAGCATGCGATCACAGCATTCAGCTCTTCGACTCGATACTCATCTGGCAGAGCGGCACAACATTGGAACTCCCTTCGAGATGGCGTACAATGCAGACGTCCACACGATCAAGCTGTTACTAGGGCATCAACCACAGAACTGCACGAGCAATGTAAAGCTCAAGGAAGCTAAGCTATACTGGCACGTCATTCTCATCAGTCATGACCAACCTATTTCTGACTATCACCGCGTCGTGCTCGGCCTGTGTGGCCAATCGCACGGCCGCAGCCCCGCTCTCAGTCACAGGCGGGTCAGTCTTCGCATGGCTGTCGTCTATGGGCTTCCTGTGCCACGATGACCTCCATCTTGTCCCTTCGTCGGTAGCCTCTGCCGAAATGGCGTCAGCAGCGCTCGCGTCCTGCCTGAACGCTTGGGGAGCCGTCAGGTCGTCCTCTGCGTGATTGCGAAGGTTGCCAGAAGTGATCCTGGCCCACGATGCCTTACTTTTTCGCGCCGTTTTTGGCCCCCTTGGGCCCGTCTGGGCCTCCTGAGTGGTACTCTGCCATCGTGTCCTTCCTGGAAGCGCTGGGGTCACCTTGGCGACGAGCGGCGAAGGCACCCATGTCCACGCCCTCGCCGTCTCGATTCCGGGGCGCGATCTCCTGGATACGGTCGCGTGGATACGTCCCGCGCTGGGCATCCGCGAAACAACGCCACCCACGGGATCGCGGCCCAGGGGCCAGGCCCGTGAGGCCTTGGATCGGAGGTTGGGGGGTGAGATCGCAGTGAAACGGAGACAAATCGGTTTCGGTCTCGTGTTCGTGTCGACACGTGCGGGCGAGGCGAAGCTGCGCGTGATCCTCCTGTAGCGTTCCCCGTCCGCCGGTGGCCGGGAGGTGTCCCAGTTGGGCCGGGCGGTGTCCCGGGTGTCCCGGGTGTCAGTAGGAGCGAAAGTCCGTTTCCCGCCCGCCAGTGGCCGGGAGGTGCCCCAGTTGGGCCGGGCGGTGTCCTGGGTGTCCCGGGCGTCCCGGCGCTAACGCATGTCGCTAATTTCATAATTCATTTTTTTCGGCGCTTTCGGCGGGCTTTCTTATCCGTAACGGCTTTGCCCCATGCCGCCGGCCCCCTGTCTCAGAAAATGGGAGATGCAAGAGCTAAATCCGCCGTGAAGCAGTGACGGGATCTGTTTGTGTTTCGACCCTGACCCTACGGATCTGCGTGAGGGTTGCCGCCGAATTTGAGAAATATGGCAAATCCCTTATGTTTCTGGACCTTGACCCTACGGATCTGCGTGAGGGGTGCCGCCGAATTTCAGAAATATGGCGAATCCCATGTGTTTTGGGACCCTGACCCTGCCGATCTGCGTGAGGGGTGCCGCCGAATTTCAGACATGTAGCAAATCCCGTGTGTTTTTGGACCATGACCCTGCCGATCTGCGTGAGGGGTGCAGCCGAATTTCAGAAATGTGACAAATCCCATGTGTTTTTGGACCCTGATCCCGCCGATCTGCCTGCGGGGTGCGGCCGAATTTGAGAACTGTGGCAAATCCCGTGTGTTTTTGGACCCTGACCCCGCCAATCTGCGTGAGGGGGCCACCGAATGTGAGAAATGTTGCAAATCGTATTATTTGTAGACCCTGACCCTGCCGATCTGCGTGAGGGGTGCCTCCGAATTGCAGAAATGTAGCAAATCCCTTGTGTTTTTCGATTCTGACCCTGCGGATCTACATGAGGGGTGCCGCCGGATTTCAGAAATGTGGCAAGTCCTTGTGTTTTTGGACCCTGACTCTGCCGATCTGCGTGAGGGGTGTCAGCGAATTTCAGAACTGTGGCAAATCCGATGTGTTTTCGCACCCTGACCCCGCCGATCTGCGTGAGGGGTGCCACCGAATGTCAGAAATGCAGCAAATCCCATAGTTATGTTTTTGGACTCTGACCCCGCCGATCTGCGTGAGGGGTGCCAGCAAATTTTAGAACTGTGGCAAATCCCGTGTGTTTTTGGACCCTGACCCGCCGATCTGCGTGAGGGGTGCCGCCGAATTTCAGAAATGTGGCAAATCCGATATGTTTTTGGACCCTGACCCTGCCAATCTGAGTTAGGGGTGTCAATTTTTACCCACTCCAGCAATTCAGACAACACGCTCAGGGCGTGGTGAAAATGCCTGTTTTGGGCCTCCCCCCCTCGCGCGGTCCATCAACAAGGCACAGAACGCAGCAAGAAGCAGAACTGTAACAGTGGAAACTGGAAGCTGCAACTGGTACAGGAAACTGCGAACCTTAGGCCTACAGCCTGGTGGCCCCACAAGGGGGCCGGCGGATCCAATCCAGCTTATCTTATCCAATCCATCTTGTCCAATCCAATCCATCTTATCTTATCCAACCCATCTTGTCCCATCTTATCTTATCCCACCCAATCCAATCCACCCAACCCAATCCATCCATTCATTTGTTTCTGCGCCTGCGGCTGGCCAATCCAATGGCAGTGGGCATTTGATCTCAATCCCCCCCCAACCTCCTGATCGCCCGCAGGGCGGTCGTATAGATATGGGTATGCTTTCCGCCTGCGACTTGGGCCAGGGTCACTTCCTGGCAACACCGGAGAGCGTCAAGTATACAATACGCCGATCCTTGCCAGGCCGATCTTGGACCCATGTTTGGTGTTTGGCGATGAAGGCACACACATACAAACACATACAGACACACAGACACACACGCACACACCCACGTACGCACGCACGCACGCACGCACACACGCACACACACACGTACACACGCACGCACGCACGGACGGACGCACACACGCACGCACGCACACACACACACGCACACACACACACACGCAAACACACGTACACACACGCACGCATGCACACACACACACACACACGCATCCACGCACGCACGCGCGCACACACAGACACACACACAGAGAGACACACACACACACGCACGTCCACACATACATACACACATACACGCATGCACACAAACATACATACCTATACGACTGCCCTGCGGGCGATGGGGAGGTTGGGGGGGATTGAGATCAAATGCCCACCCTGACTGACCTCCAGCCTGTCACCTTGATCTCATCTCTCTCTTTCTCTCTGTCTCTCTCTCTCTCTCTGTCACTCTCTGTGTCTCTCTCTCTCTCTCGCCCTCTCTCTCTCTCTTTCTCTCCCTCTCTATCAGAGTCTCCCTCCACCACAATGATGATCGCGATGACGATGACGATGATAATGGATTGGATTGGACAAGATGGATTGGATAAGATCGGAGGTTGGGGGGTGAGATTGCAGTGAAACGGAGACCCCCCACCAGGAACTCGGTTTTGGTTTCGTGTTCGTGTCGTGCGTGCGGGCGAGGCGAAGCTGCGCGTGATCCTTCTGTAGCTAGTAGGCCGAAGTAGGAGCGAAAGTCCGTTCCCCGTCCGCCGGTGGCCGGGAGGTGTCCCAATTGGGCTGGGCGGTGTCCCGGGTGTCCCGGGTGTCAGTAGGAGCGAAAGTCCGTTTTCCGTCCGCCGGTGGCCGGGAGGTGTCCCAGTTGGGCCGGGCGATGTCCTGGGTGTCCCGGGCGTCCCGGCGCTAACGCATGTCGCTAATTTCATAATTCATGCTTTTCGGCGCCTGCGGCGGGCTTTCTTATCCAATCCAGCTTACCTATATGACTGCCCTGCGGGCGATAAGGAAGTTGGGGGGGAAATTGAGATCAAATGTCCACCCTGACTGACCTCCAGCCTGTCACCTTGATCTTATCTCTCTCTTTCTCTCTGTCTCTCTCTCTCTGTCACTCTCTGTGTCTCTCTCTCTCTCTCGCCCTCTCTCTCTCTCTCTCCCTCTATCAGAGTCTCCCTCCACCACAATGATGATCGCGATGACGATGACGATGACAATGGATCGGATTGGACAAGATGGATTGGATCAGATAAGCTGGATTGGATAAGAAAGCCC